GACGGCATAAGGGAAGTACGTCTAAATAGGCTAATAGAAATTCTATTGGAGATGTAGAAACTTGCTTGGAATTGTCTTTTATTGAAAAAGGTCATTTATTATTTCGGTCAGGCTGTGCTAATAGCCTCCTGGCTACAATCATCAAATGGTGGTCAGACTGCGGGTAAGCTAAGGTAATTGTTGAACACTATCATTAAAGGAGTCTATTTGTTAATATCATACATGGTGTCCATAAAGTTCGTATGCACTTTAAAATTCTATAACTTTATTTGTATTTACGATAGAAATAATCTGTAAAAATGTTATAAAGTTTAATGTACCTAGTTTTAAGTATAGCTAAAATAACTAATGTGATTTCAGGCATTACTGTAAATCAGTTGGCAAATGTTTTCCGTGAACTGCAAAATCGTATTACCCTTTGTATTGCTAATGATGAAGGACATGTGGAAACTTAAATAAAATTTCAATAAAACTTTAAAAAATATCGATTTACTTCTTTCTAATCCTTTTTACAAATTATTTCTATCGCAAATACAAATAAAGTTATAAATTTTTTAAAGTGCACATGAACTTTCTGGACACCATGTATAATTTGAAAGAAAAATTGCGAAATAATCGCATACGTTCAGATAAATTTTGGCAACATTTTTCGAGAACCTTGCCTATAAATCTACAAAATCTCTGGAACAGGTTTAAATCCGTTAACTTTTTATCAGATCATAAACATCGTTCTTCACTCACGTTATAACCCACTATTTCTACAATAGTGCATTCTAAAAGCGAAGTTATTCTTTTCATTGAAAAGTTTAAACTTTTCATCTAAACCATTTCCTGCACGTTTTCGTTATCAAGTAAAGGAATATCGTCTAAATGCAAAAATGCACCGTCATCATCAGAAAATATTTTGTCGATGAAACATTAAAATGTTGCTGCTGCATTTTCTTTAATCCAGACAGCATGTAATTATTACGACATAAGCAAGAAAGTATAGTTGCTATTGTTTTTGACATATCGTTAGAATGTCCTTTTTATCTGCTGAACAGCTGAAGCTAAGTCTATACTAGAAAAAACAATCTTTGTTAGGTAAATGAATGGATATGTGGTATAGGGTATCGATCTTCTTTTGTAATAATATTGAGAGGACGGTAATCAGCGAAGCTTAGATAATGACTATCAGATGGATGGGACTTGTCCATTTACATGCAGAAGGGGGTATCACTAACGAATTTGGAAGAATTTAAGTTCAGTTTGGTGTCATTATATATTTTGTTGCAGAAAGATTCTAGTCTCGGCAAAAATTGAGCATGATTTCCTGTGTCTATCCTGTGATGAATTCTATAATATTTTCTACTCGGGTTTTCGGAGGAGAGATAACACTAGAGTATTTTCTTTTTCATTCATTTACAAATGAAGGAAGACTAACGTCATTAACAATTACATTTATCTACAATGTAGTTTTTTTTTTTTTCAGTCATTTCACCCCATGCAAAACAATAAAACCATTAAGATACAAGTAGTTACTGAGTGGGAAGAAATAAAAGAGAGAGAAGAATAAAAGAACGGGAATTAAGAAGACGGAAGATAACGATTGACATTGCATTTAAATTTTTTAAGATCAAAATTGGCTGGAAAGTATGGAACCGGAAAAGTTTTCCACAAGCGAGAAGTGCGAGAAAAGAAACTGTTGGCATAGAACTTACGGTTGCATCTAGCCAATTCAATTGTATATTGATGAGACCTCGCCGCCAATCTAGTACTGCGCTTATATTCATAAAGTCTAGGTTCCATAAGTTCATCAGAACAATTACCACGAAAGAAAATATAGTAGAAAAGGTACAGGGAAGCTGCGAAAGTATGAAAGTATTTGCCTATATTTCTCAGATGAAGTATTGTAACTATTTACACTATTTATATTGTTCTCATCTTTATTGCCATATTCACGGCGTTTCGACCGTTTTACGGTCCGGCCTTCTTCAGGTGATATTAGTTAAAATTTCGAATCGAACCCTTTATTTAGTCCATTTAGTATATTGTTCTAATTCCACGTGTCATGCCTTTGGATATCTCAGTTTCAGTTAATTCCCTTTTAGTTACTCAACACTTGTTTGTTTTTGTTCCCTCTGCTGTGGCCAGGTATTGAACTCCGTGAATATGGCAATAAAGATGAAGATAACTGTTTGAACAATGTAAATAGTTTAAATGAAAGTATTTATAGAAAACGCGCAGGGAAGCTACATTACGGTGGTGTGAATGTAACTGAAGCCGAGATGCCAGGTCAGAACCGATAATATTGCAGACGGTTTTTTTGGATTTTATCCAGAATCTCTAAATATATAGGAGGAGCACGGAACATTAGTGGCAGCGATATTCAAACATAGACGAATGGCAGACTTATAGATATGTAAGACAAATTCTGGATCGAAAAATTGTTTTGCACGACACTGTATAACACTTTTCGCCACCGCCTACATCCGGTGGTGTAACCTCGTTTTAGTGCTCC